GCAAAAATACCTAAAAATGTCTGTGGGTTATGAATAATTATATTTCCCACGATGGTGAGTGGTGACATGTGTATGCATGGGTTCCTAACAAAACAGCGTCCTGAACATAATTTAGGAGCGTCAGATGATTAAAACCTATCTTTGTGTCTTGTTTGAGTAGATTAAAACTTTATTTAATCACAAAAGTTATCGATGACACTATTTTCACATCGTTAATCATTAATAATTTTTATATCAATGATATTTCCGATTATCGATTTATTTAGCCAGCCCTAGTATCAAATAGTGATGATGCTAGGTGATGCTGTGAAACAGGGAAACATATGATACATGTCAAAATAGGGAATTGCATCGGCAATAATTCCACATGTCAACCACCCGTGAATGTCCTGGTTAGAATATTGATCTTCAGTAACCCATGCTTGTCGTAAGAGGCGACTAACAGGATCGGGTGGTCAGGCCTCGCTGACTTGGTTGACACACGTCATTGGTTCCAAATTGCGTAGATTGATGCTCATGCTGTTGATCACTGGATTGTCTGGTCCAGACTCGATTATTTACAGACCGCCGCCATATAGCTGGAATATTGCTGAGTGTGGCGTAAAACTAAACTCACTCACTCACTCCACATTTCTACCATAACACGCTTTGTGAAAGTTCCACGACTGGTGTGTGAGGCTGTTGTGAACAAATGATCCAGCTCTCGGACTGTTACCTCTTAGTCGACACAAGAATAACAGTTAGGGCAATCTCCGCTCGCCATTGTCTCAACCAAGAAAGAAGAAGCTGCACACACAAAGCATCAACATCCTCCATTTCAAAAATGCATTCTCACACATACATGCATAGCTACACACATATACACACACATGCGTACGTACGTACATACATACATACATACATACATACATACATACATACATACATACATACATACATACATACATACATACATTCACACACAAATGCACAGACAGACAAATACACAGACAGACAGACAGCCATAATGAAATACGAAAAAATGGTGATATAGTGTAATAACGTTATGATACCAGAGGTCATATGACATTACTCGGTTCAATAAAAGACCTACAAGTATAAATATCATGCTACGACCTATCGATTTAGTTCTTCAGTTTAGCGTACGAGAATAAAGTTATGTACTAACACAAACTCCACACTTACCAGGAATGAAGGAAATCACAGAGAACGAATGTGAACGTCTTGTCCTGGAAGCAGGTTGCCTCTTGTATGTGGTTATTGTAGTTTATTGTTACGTGTTAGAGGCCTGACTGATTATCGATGAGATAGAAACACAAACATAAAGTGTTTATAGTTACAGGGGCCTGGGATTAACTTCTGCAAATACACCTGCCGGTAAATTGAGACTTGTGCTGAAAACATATGACCAGATGACTATCTTGTCACGCTGAAGCACGTATTGGAGGTTAGAAACGCTAGATTGTATGTGTAGATTGCGGCACTTGCAAATGGATCATCGACGGTGATCAAGCTAAAGAACCATTACTTGTAAATTTGTTACAATTTCATGTTACGATTTCAACGTATGCAAACATTACGGCCCAACAATATCAGTCAAAGCACGCTATGAGTGAATCTGGAAACGCCGCGTGGAACATGCAAACTGTCTTTACATAAAGGACGGGTAGACACATTGTCGTGTTAAACAGTTACGTTAAAAGTATATATATGTGACAAGTGTATGTACAGAAGGTGAACTGTGCTTATATACGATATTCATGTGTGCCGCTTTTACAGGATTTGTTTGGGATGAATAGGGGACTTTGCTATTGCATAATGTATTCTCAGAACGCAGAGATAATTTGTGCTGGTCGATAGCTGTTACACGACTTGGCAATGAATCAACTCCTAATCAGGATGCCCTGTATTATTTCTCAGATTTGAACTGATAATGGTATTGAGGGTCAGAGGGTACCAGTCGTCAGAGAAATTCCATAGCTGGCACAGATACTTGGCAGAATGGTAAAACATGCCTGCCAGGCTCAGGTCAACAGGTTTGGATTCTGCTGTTGATACACCCATTGCTATATTGAGTACATGCCACTATTATGAATGTTTGGCATTATAAGACCCCACTCCTATGTTCTTATTGAAACATGATAGGCAAAAGAGAATGTTTAAACAATGTTTTAATATAACACTACAACAATTTCTGACCATTCGTTTTATGAATACCTATTTTTTTAACACTTTTAACTTATTTTCTACAATTAAATATATTCCTAAATTTAAAAAGAATCAATATAGGAATTGTAAATACTAAGTATCTTATAAAATATATTTCACTGCTACAGTACTTCATTTCAGTTACACCTCAAAATCGTAAAGCATGCACGTATGGTTAGCCTGTCTTTCATTCAATGTCAGTTAATTTCTTTTGTTTGAGAATAGACCTTTTAAAATATTGCCTGTAGCACAAAGTTCTATGAAATGTTACATAATGTGGTTACAATATCTGAGAGTTCCTGTTAGTATGTTTAGTCCATGGGCGGATCCAGGAATTTTGAAAGGGGGGAGTTCAGGGGTTTCGAACCCTCTGAATCCCCCATTGGATCCGCCAATGTAGTCTGGTGGTTAAAGCTATCGCTCGGCACTCCCAAGACCCGGATTCGATTCCCAAATGGGAACAATGCGTGAAGTCCTTTTCTGATTGCACTCATTGTTTGTGTCAAGTTTTTATAGTGTCACACGTGTATACTTTATCTGTTAACTCTGCGGGAGATATAACCTAATGCACTTTAACATTATTGAACGGATTACAGTAGGTAACAACTGAATGGAATATTAAAAGTGATTGTATTTGCACTCCAAGGTTACTGAGTTCTGTTAGTATGCCCATGCAATATATGAGACACGTATTACAGGTATATTAACCAGCGTGGGTCAAACATTTTCTCTCCCTCATTACATGTCCAGAAATCCAAGAGACTATAAACAACATGCAGGCAAACATCATTATGTCGAACTTATAGTTGTCTCGAAGTAAAAGCTTGGTCCCTGCATGTACCGTATTTTGTCATCGTTTTTTGACTACCTCGGATAACTCGAACTATGTATGTGGCCACTTCAACTTCAATTCAACGGTGTCTTTATCTCCAGTAGAAACCTCTGTGCGTCCGACAACAACCAAGGAGTTGAGTATGATGCAGTTTTAATCAGCAAATAAGCGTGGAGGCTTCTGAATTACTGGTACGAGTGATCAAAGCATTCAGTCTGGCACACCTGATTTCTGTTTCTCTGTGAACACTTAAACTGAAAACAATTAAACTTATGATTTTATTATGAGTGAGTGAGTTTACTTTTACGCTGCTTTTAGCAATTTTCCTGCAATATCACAGCGGTGGACACCGGAAATGAGCCTCACACATTGTACCCATTTTGGGAATCGAACCCAGGCCTTCAGAATGACGAGCGAACGCTTTAACCACAAAGCAAACCATACAGTCCTATTGTGACATGGGCAAATATTCGACTTTGAAGATTTAATCATTATGGAACATGTGTCACTTTGGGGTACAAGTTATCATTAGAATGTGTCATTTTGAACCATAAATGAATAAATGTAACCATTGCTTCATGCTACAGATATAGTAAACATAGTCTCCATCACACATATATAGATGATTATCTCAAATACTTCCGGTATTCTAGGGCCTGTAAAGAGCATAAAAAGACATAAATATTATATGATGGTGCTAAATCACTGAAAATCAGCGATGACACCTGGTGTTCGCGTGTTTGTTGCGTTACGCCGCACTCGACCCTACTCCTGCTGTATGTCGGCGGCCAATAAACGACCGAATTTGGACAAGACACTTCAGCTATAGATAACTCCACGTCCAGTATTATTGGCGAGGCGTTAATCTTTATTGAAATGTTAGCTGGCCACGTCAGATAGATGACTTCCCGGTCACATTTCACACGAAGGATATAAGCACCTCTTGTAGCGACAAGTAGATTTTGCTGATCCATTGGCAAGTCTATATATAGCAGTGATTTCAACACCGACCACCGAAACACGACGGTCAAATGGAGAGTGTTGATGATTAACAAAGAGAACATTGATAATGTCTAATCCATTGTAGTTGATCACTGGATTGTCTGGTCCAGATTCGATTATTTACAGACCGCCACCATATAGCTGGAATATTTCTGAGTGCGGCGTAAAACTAAACTCACTCACTCTAATCAATTTTGCTACCAGAATGCAAATTCTGACGTACAATTTAGTTTTCTTCCTAACATGAGTATTGTATTAACATCAGAATATACAGACATAGACATAAACATCTGAAATTTTGGACCATCAATCGACACGTCACTGGTATTTCATATCATCGTTTTGCCATCGGAATAGGAATACAGTCATATAAACGATCAGCGCACCCTAACACGACTAAAGGACACAACTCGTCTGCTTTTGGAGCGTATCAGAATGTTTTTGTTTGTAACTGTGTTGTTGATATTTTTACTTCGGGATTTCCTACCACGTCAAAGTGATACGTCATGCTGAACTAAAGATCCAGTTTTGCCGAATTTGGCAAAGAACCTAGCTTTTTGAGCACTAGTTACATTAGCTTATGCATGATTTGCTCAGTTCCTGATAATGAAGTTGCTTCGGCTTGACAAGAATATCATGTGAACAGTATATAAATATGCATTGTTCACGCGAATATATATACTCCAAAAGTAAATTTACTTACATAAGTATAATTTGTCTATGGTTTTGAGGCTGAATTCCCTGGTTTAGGAGCGCACCATAATGTTTTCGTTGGGTTTCGTCTTTTCTAATCACGTATAAGTATGTTCTTGATATTCTATATTACACCACGTCAAAGTAACACGTTACTAAACTAAAGATGCAGTTATGATGAATCTTGAAACCCACACACACACACCCCACCCCACCTCCGTCCACGTATAGGACTATTGGCAAAAATTCTAATTCAGATTGCGTGTTTGTCATTAAATGTGCTATTTTAATGTATGAAAACAATTACGTACATCTGTCATTAGTTCTTCACGCACGTCGCATTTTGCGATAGTTTGCTGTATGAGACGTACAAAAAATAATCTGTTTGGATGATTTTCATTTTCTTGGACTCTGCAGGTGAGGCAAGAACGTAGCTTTCTGATCACTGGTTTTCTTTAGCCTTTGCACCTGCTCAATTCGCGATAATGGCCTTGTAGACCTGGGTGTTGTGTTTCTCTCGGTGTTAGTTTGTGAATTTAATCCACTTCGTTTCATTCCCTGCCAAAGTTGCTGCATCTCGTCTTTCCACGTACGCATTTCATCGATGGAATTCTCTAAACTCGTCGTTTTTTGTCCAAGTTCGAGGTACATATATACCTACAAAGTAATATGGAAAAACTGTTTGAATGATTTTCATTTTCTTGGAGTCTGCAGATGGGGCAAGAACTTGTCTTTCGGAGCACTGGTTTTCCTTGGCGTTTGCACCTGCTCAGTTCCCGATAATGGCCTTGTAGACTTGGGCGTTGTATTTCTCTCGGTGTTTTTTTGTGAATGTATTCCTCTTCGTGTCAAAAGTTCCTGCATCTCGTCTTTCCACGTACGCATTTCATCGATGGTATTCTCTAAACTCTCGACCCGTTCTGAGACCTTATTCAGTTCAGTTGTCAAACGGTGTATTTCTTTGTCCTTAGAAGCTGATTCCGTTTTCATTGTCTTTAGTTTCTTTTCAAGTGTTTTTCTCTTTTTTCTCTCTTCTTTTAGCTGCCTTTCTAGTGTAGATATCTGTGCATCTTTATCTTTAGGATCAACCTGTCAAATGTAAGGCAACGCCGGGGATAAACAAGTTAACAATTACAGTGCATATATCATACATTAAAGTAAGAATATAGTAATGTTTTATTCTTCCCTAATGTGTTTGGCGTGAATAATATTTACATATTTATCCTTTTAGTGACAATACATCATCAATTTTATCTCTAAGTAAGAAAACATGTTCCAATTCAATGACTGGAGAATAATATCTTCGGCATGAAGTACATTGAAATCCGAAACACAAGAAACCAACTATGTCAGTTATCGATTAAAGAAACTAATATATTTCACACAGTTTGAAAGCATTATGGGTAACGTATTACCCAGCTATATTATGGTGACTATCCTTATATTAACCAATACTTCAGGGTTTCATTTACTAATCCCGCAAAACGTATGTGTTGACTTAAGTGATTTTTTCGTTTAGGCAAAAAAGCAGAAACATGTTGCATACAGAGTAAACCAAACAGGTTAGTTACAACAAAACGAGAACAGCCAAGTCAGCGAGCCGATTCCTTCAATCGCTTCTTATGACAAGCATGGGTTGCTGAAGACCAATTCTTACCCGGATCTTCACGGGTTGGTAGTGAGTGTATGTGTCTCAACTGCCGTCCGTATCATTTAAGTGAGTGAGTAGTGAGTATGGTTTTATGCCGCGATATCACGGCGGGGGACACCAGAAATGGGCTTCACACATTGTACCCATGTGGGAATCAAACCCGGGTTTTAAACGTTACGAGCTGACGCTTTAACCATTAGGCTACCCCACCGCCCCCGTATTATTTAAGTTCCCCGATTGCAGGGGTACTTTATGCGTGTTGTGTTTGGACGTTGTTTTCTGGCAGTTGTTCGTTTAAACGTGTGTTTGTAATTTTTGGAAAAAAAGGTCAAGTTTGTTTTGGCCAATCAGTTCACACTAAAGACAAAGAGCGAAATAATGACCAATATAAACTAACGCAACACAATTTGTCCTCGAAAGATACAAAACTCTAACACCATCAATTGTTACTCTGCATACTTTCGATGAGTTTTCAAAAGATAAAACAAAATGAGGCATGGGTGCCAGCACTTGCTTTTCGACTTTCATTCAGAGGATTTTGAATCACGTAAGTGCAAAACGACTGAACGGGCAAATTTACAAAATGTAATTGTAAAATAATGAAAGGGAAGAATGATCACTTCAAAGAAGTAATTAAAATTTCAAAATTATTGGATTTGAGACTCGCCCTAATCATTGGGTAGAAATGAAGCATATATGAGACAATATATCATAAAACATTTCTAAAAAGAGAACGCAGGTTTTCTTATGATACAAATATGAAGGGCTATAGAAGCACGTGGCTGCGAATTCATTTCATACTTCCGTGGTAATTGCACTAGCCTATTTTTACACAAAACTACCCAGCCACACATAATAATTTGCAAACTGTTTCAGGATGGGTGATAGCTAAGTACAGTCTGGTTTTTGCACCTCGGTATATATGCTGTTTAATTGTATTTGCCATTTATAAATTAAACCATATACATACAATTAGGGTTTTGAAATGACAGTCTTGCCCACTCCTCTTGCAGCGCCTAACCAAGTTATCGTGGCCTTTGACATTGACATCTCCCGATCATGTCCCATACTTATAAATTACTAAATATGGGAAAGGCCAGGACTACCTTCTAGCCATTGCATTCTGTTGGTGTTCTGAGGTAGTCAGTTCTATTACGTGTACGGTGAACACAATCATTGTCGGCAGGAATATTATTGCCTAAAGTGACGTCTCGGGACACTTGTTTAATCTCCTCAATGTGTCCGCACCTGAGGTACACACAGTTAGGGTTGTTTGAGATATCTACTTACTTTCGTTTCTCCTGTGCTGAACCCCTCCGACAACTCGGCTATGATTGTCGCATACTTTTTGCCTTTTGTTTTAAGAGCCTCAACAAAAGTATTAAGTCCATTTTCTCCTCCATATTCAGTGAGAGCTACAAACAAGTATTTGAAAGCTTGCTTTGTGCTTTTCTCCTCAATCATCTCAACGTCTCTTTTGTCTAAAACTCTGTTGTCTTCTAGAATATATATAATATCTTTGAAATCCAGAAATTGCGCAACCAACTTCCAGTTTTCTTGTAGTCTTTTTATGTGTACGTCTTTCATGGGGTTGGGATTTCTATTGCTGGCCATCTGAAAATCAAGAAAACATGGCGTAAGACTTAAAGGCTGTTAGACTGTTTTTGTCTGTCCTCCTTGTCACACTCTCACCCCTTTCCAAAATTTCCAAAAGTTCTACATAAAATCATCAATCCTGCTTGGTCAATTCTGCAGTAAATTATATGTGAATAACTGTGAATTCAAGACCTTAACTAAACATTCGAAACATTCTATGTGGATATAACACTCTTCATTAAAAAAAGAAGAAAAAAAGATATGCATCAGCCATTTTTAGAAGAATTTAGTTTAAGAGTAATTATTATAATATTTCACTTCACAAACCCCTTAGAATATGCAAGCCTAGTAAGAGCAGTTAAACAATATTTTGAAACATACAACATACCATTTGGAGAAAACTTGAATTACCATTCATTCCTTATCACATTCAAGACATCTTTAGAAATAAGAAAGGTTGTAAGATATATTACGATATACTTATTCCTATTTTAGACTCTGCTATATATAACTATAAAAAGAAATGGGAAGATGAACTTGAAACAGATATAAGTGAAAAAAGAATGGAAATCCAATCAAAAGATTATATTTCGAGCTCATAGATACTCTAAATGGTTCCAATATTCTTTAGTGCATAGAATCTTACCAACAAACCTACTTTTGTTTAAATTGGGATATGTAGAAAGTAAGTCATGCTCATATTGTAAAAATGCACCAGAAAGCGGAATTCATCTCTTTTACGACTGTCCAAAATCTAGAAACATACGGAAGCAATTTTCAAATTGGATAAGAACAAAAACAGATGTCACATTGAATATCGACAAGATGAAAATCATATTTGGATTCTCTGATAAAAGGAACAATGTCCTTAATCTCCTGATAACAGCTGTCAAATTTTCTCTTTTTAAAATACGAATATATACTTGTACACCAAGTTTCGATACGATCAGAAAGGAAATAAGTAAAATTCATAATAATGAGAGAACACATGCCATCTCTTCTTGTAACTTTACCAAATTTCTTGGATTCTGGTCTGATTGCCATCAATTGTATGATTGACACTAACGTACAACTGACCCTTTTTCCTACAATGTCATTTGTTATGATATGCTTGTCAATGTGAGATCCCGCCAAACTCTGTATACAAACGCATGGTTTATAATATTTGGTTGTGATTTGATGTCATGATTTTGCTACCAAAAATTAAAAAAAATATTTCATGTAATTTCAATGGTAACACAACCCAACAGCCCACTTGAGCCCACAAGATGTCGTCAAAGTCAATATATACTTTGTATGACCACCATTGGCAGCAATTACTGCACCGTCTCGGCACAGACTGGATAAGTCGACGAAGTGGCTGTTACGGAATTCTTCCCAACCCTTCCTGCTATGGACCCGTGAAATTCCGGGGTAGAATAGGTCTTCAGCAACCCATGCTTGCCACAAAAGGCGACTATGCTTTTCGTAAGAGGCGACTAACGGGATCGGGTGGTCAGGCTCGCTGACTTGGTTGACACATGTCATCGGTTCCCAATTGCGCAGATCGATGCTCATGCTGTTGATCACTGGATTGTCTGGTCCAGACTCGATTATTTACAGACCACCGCCATATAGCTAGAATATTGCTGAGTGCGGCGTACATCTAAACTCACTCACTCACTCTTCCTGCAATGTGATGGCCAGTTGTTGAAGTGTCTGAGGCGCGTTTTGACGTTGAGGTACACGTCGATCGAGTTCATCCCGTAGGTGCTCAATCGGGTTTAGATCTGGTGATCGGGAAGGCCATGGCAAGACATTGACGTTAGAATTGGCAAGGTAGCGGACCGTGACGCGTGCTGTATGTGAAGTAGCGTTGTCATGCTTGAACAACTCCTTCTGTCGGTCAATAATCGGAAGCATATGACGTGCAAGGACTTCGTTGATGTACCGATTTGCTGTCAAATTCCCCTGAAGAACCACTAAATCAGATCTTGTGTGCTGGATATCACACCCCACACCATGCATGGCACTCTCTTCACCGAATCTGTTGACCTGTCGAATGCAATTAGGTGCAAAACGTTCACTTCTCCGACGGTAATCACGGCCGCTTCACCACCGATCTTGGGCAGAATTGGTCTGCAGGAAACGATCCCAAAGGCAAGATATGGTGCTCTGCTGAACGTTGAAATGTCGAGCAACTGCGTGCTGTATGTGAAGTAGCGTTGTCATGCTTGAACAACTCCTCTGTCGGTCAATAATCGGAAGCATGACGTGCAAGGACTTCGTTGATGTAGGCTGTCAAATTCCCCTGAAGAACCACTAAATCAGATCTTGTGTGCTGGATATCACACCCCACACCGTGCATGGCACTCTCTGTGACCTGTCGATTGCAAAACGTTCACTTCTCCGGTAATCACACTCAGTCTTGGGCAGAATTGGTCTGGCGATGATGATTTGAACGTTGAAATGTTTTCCAGGCAAAAACGATTAAACAAAGGCAATTAAACACAACGTTTGCCTTTTATAGTGATCGATACTGCATGTTTTATCGCTTACTTGCAAGTGCATTTTACTTTGCATGTTTTCTTGGGCAAATATTTCTTCAAACGCCCCTAAAACAAGGAAAGACGTTACAACTACCGCTTTTTGGGCGCTGTAGCTGTTTACAAAGATGACGTTTTGGAAAGAAATAGTATATTTGCAATGTTTTTAGCGCAGTTACGAGTCCAATATGTCAAATATTCTCAAAATCCCATATGCATTTCTTTTTTAAGAGCACGCACACGCACACGCACGCACGCACGCACACGCATGCGCACGGGGCATGCATACAAGCACATGCAACAGTCATATACTTGCAATGACATTTGGAGGGGTATATGCAAGCGTAAAAACGACAAATTTCTTTTCGCATCCACAAGAAATCTCTGCTAAGAGCAGAGTCGATTGAATAAGTTCGGTTCTGTCACGAGGAAGTGCCTTCGAATCACTATGAAATAGTGCTCGTGAACATATGGTACATGTCCAAAATAGGGATTGCATCGGCAATAAGTTTGGTCAGTGATGTGTCATGTTTGAAAATGACTTCCACATGTCTACCATACCACGCCTTGAAACAGTTGAGTGTACAGGCTGATGCATACATACATACATGCACAGATACACACATACATAGATACATACATACATACATACATACATACATACATACACACATACATACATACATACATACATACATACATACATACATACATACATACATACATACATACATACATACACACATACATACATACATACATACACATACATACATAGTTTTACATACGCTTTTACGCAATACGTATTCCACACACACACATACACATACATACATACATACATACATACATACATACATACATACATACATGTACATTGCATTGCATGTACGGGTACATACAGTGTCACGTGCACGTACATACTTTACATACATACATGCATACATACACACCTACATACATACATACATACATACATACATACACACACATACACACATACACACACACACACACATACATACATACATACATACATACATACATACACACATACATACATACATACATACATACATACATACATACATACATACATACATACATACATACATACATACATACATACATACATACATACATACATACATACATACATACATACATACATACATACATACATACATACATACATACATACATACATACATACATACATACATACATACATACATACATACATATACATACATACATACATACATACATACATACATACATACATACACACACACACGTACATACATACATACATACATACACATACATACATACATACATACACACATACATACATACATACATACATACATACATACATACATACATACATACATACATACATACATACATACATACATACATACATACATACATACATACATACATACATACATACATACATACATACATACATACATACATACACATACATACATACATACATACATACATACATACATACATACATACATACATACATACATACATACATACATACATACATACATACATACATACATACATACATACATACATACATACATACATACATACATAAAAGGTGTGTTTTCACGAATTTAATCTGCTAATTTTAAAGTGAGAAGATGTGGATCAGTTGCAGCCAAATTTCACAGTATAAAAGATCAGATGAATGACGCACACACAGCCATAATGAAATATGAAAAAATTATGAATAGCGTAATAACTATATGATACCAGAGGTTCAATGATAGACCAACATGTATAAATATCATGCTACGACCTAACGATTTAGTTCTTCAGTTTAGCGTACGGGAATAAAGTTATGTACTAACACAAACTCCACACTTACCAGGAATGAAGGAAAACAAAGAGAACGAATGTGAACGTCTTGTCCAGGAAGCAGGTTGCCTCTTGTATGTGGTTATTGTAGTTTATTGTTACGTGTTAGAGGCCTGATTGATTATCGATGAGATAGAAACACAAACCTATAGTGTTTATAGTTACAGAGACCTGGGGTTATCTTCTGCAAACATACATGCCGGTGAAATGGGACTAGTGCTGATTTAAAGTTCAAAGCATATGACCAGATAACTATTTTGTCACGCTGAAACTCGTATTGGAGGTTAGAAGCGCTAGATTGCGGCACTTGCAAATGAATCATCGGTGTTGGCATCTGGGTTGTTCTAAAGCGACGGTGATCAAGCTAAAGAACCATTACTTGTAAATTTGTTACAATTTCATGCTACGATTTCAGTGTATGTAAATTATTGCCCAACAATATAAGTGAAACCACGGTATGAGGTACATAGTATTCCCAGAAATTACTGAGAAAGTTGTTTCGGCAAATATCTAATACATGTATAAACTATAGAAGTCTTACTTAAATGAATATGTTGAGATGTGGTTGTCGGACGAATATGTTCAAGTTTTAGACTGACCCAGCTGCAGACCCGATCTTAACCCTATTGGGAATGTGTGGGGACTAATGAAGGACAGAATAAACCAAAACGGACTTAGAAATATTGAGGATATGAAGAAAGAAGTAGTCGAATATTTGGACATGCTGTCACACGATTTCCTACACACTTTGATCGGTAGTTTACCTAGGCGCATTCAGTCGTGTATTGCAGGGCAAGGAGGTCTCACAAAGTACTGAACAGGCACTTAGACTGTAACAGAATCAGATCTCAACATATTCATTGAAGTAAAACTTCTATAGTTTATATGCATGTATTAGATATTTGCTGAAACAACTTTCTCAATAATTTCTGGGAATACTTATACATGTCTTATACATTTCATTGCTACTGTAGTTCATTTAAATGCATCCCAAAATCGTAAAAACATGCACGTATGGTTAACATGTCTTTCCTTCAATATCCAGTTAATTTTTTCTGTTTGAGAAGAGAGTTTTTAATATTGTCTGTAGGGTCGGTGGGGTAGCCTAGTGGTTAATGCGTTCGTTTGTCACGCCGAAGACCCGGGTTCGATTCCCCACATGGGTACAATGTGTTGTGTCCCCTCAGTGATATTGCTCGAATATTGCTAAATGCGGTGTAAAACCATACTCACTCACTCACTCATATTGTTTGTCACACAAAGTTCTATGAAATGTTACATATAAGGTTACAATATCTGACATAATAACACTGCTAGTGTCGGGGCGTAGTCAGGTGGTTAAAGCGTCTGCTCGTCACGCCGAAGACCCGGGTCGATTCCCCACATGGGTTCAATGTGTGAAGCCCATTTCTGGCTGCACTTACTGTTCGTGTCAAGTCTCTATAGCGTCACATTAGACCTGTCTGCTTTATCTGGTAACTCTGAGGTTAAGATATAACCTACCGCACGATAACATTATTTTGAAAGGATTACAGTAGGTATCAACTGACTGGAATTTTGAAAAAGTGATTGTATTTGCACTCCGAGTTTTGTTTATATCTCCATGCAATATATGATACACGTATTACAGGTATATTAACCAGCGTGGGTCAAACATTTTCTCTCCCTCATTACATGTCCAGAAATCCAAGAGACTATAAACAACATGCAGGCAAACATCATTATGTCGAACTTATAGTTGCCTCGAAGTAAAAGCTTGGTCCCTGCATGTATCGTATTTGTCATCGTTTTTTGACTACCTCGGATAACTCGAACTATGCATGTGGCCACTTCAACTTCAGTTCAACGGTGTTTGACTGTCTTTATCTCCAGTAGAAACCTCTGTGCGTCCGACAACAACCAAGGAGTTGAGTATGATGCAGTTTTAATCAGCAAATAAGCGTGGAGGCTTCGAATTACTGGTACGAGTGACCGAAGCATTCAGCCTGGCACACCTGATTTCTGTTTCTCTGTGAACACTTAAACCGAAAACAATTTAACTTATGGTTTTATTATGAGTGAGTTTAGTTTTACGCTGCTTTTAGCAATTTTCCTGCAATATCACAGCGGTGGACACCGGAAATGGGCCTCACACATTGTACCCATGTGGAAATCTAACCCGGGCCTTCAGAATGACGAGCAAAAGCTTTAACCGCAAAGCAAACCATACAGTCCTATTGTGACATGGGTAAATATTCGACTTTGAAGATTTAATCATTATCGAACATGTGTCACTTTTTGGGTACAAGTTATCATTAGAATGTGTCATTGTGAACCATAAATGAATAAATGTAACCATCGCTTTATGCTACTGATATAGTAAACATAGTCTCCATCACACATATATAGTTGATTATCTCAAATATTTCCGGTATTCTATGGCCTGTAAAGAGCATAAAAAGACAGATAAATATTATATGATGGTGCTAAATCACTGAAAATCAGTGATGACACCTGGTGTTCGTGTGTTTGTTGCGTTACGCCGCACTCGACCCTACTCCTGCTGTATGTCGGCGGCCAATAAACGACCGAATTTGGACAAGACACTACGTCCATTACTATTGGCGAGGCGTTAATCTTTATTGAAATGTTAGCTGGCCACGTCAGATAGATGACTTCCTGGTCACATTTCACTGAAAGGATTTAAAGTTTTCGTTACCAGCTCGTGTGGCCACAAGTAGATTTTGCTGATCCATTGCCAAGTCTATATATAGCAGTGATTACGACACCGACCAGTGTTGATACTGACGACAGTCAAATGGAGAGTGTTGATGATTAACAATAAGAACAGAGACATAACAATAAAAAGATCTGATATCTCTTTGAACATCAATTGAAACGAATACATGACACGTTTTTGGATAACAACTTCTTTTTATTCTTTATACAACTGACACATAACTGGTATTTCATGTCATGTTTTGTCATCGGAATACAGTCAAACCATGTGAGTGTTCAGTCTAAAATTCTGTTTATAATGTATAAGACAACAATATTTATGGATGTCAACTTCTTTATGGTGAATAACACGGCGTGCCGGAGTGTATGCTTGCTCCTTCATCACGTCGTGTTATTCTTAATGCCCTTTAAACATTTGTTTATAATGTAATTTAACGTCTACAGCCGAGTACGAGTTTGGCAAACGACCAGCGCATCCTAACACGACTAAGGGACACAACTCGCCTGTTTTAGGAGCGTATTAGAAATGTTTTTGATGGTGATATGTTTAAGTTTCTAATCAAGTATAACTATGTTCTTGATATTCTTTACTTCGGGAATTCCTCCCATGTCAAAGTATTACGTCATTATCATGCTGAACTAAAGATACAGTTTTGTCGAATCGTGCATCTCCGCCCCACTTGGTCGACGTGTACGCTTGTCTGTCGCCTCGGGTATATTGCAATATGCCATAATTCTAATTGAGGTTGTAGGATTTCTTTGCATTATATTGATATATGAAAACAATGACGTACATCTATCATCAGTTGTTCACGTTCATCGTTTTTTGTCCAAGTTCGAGGTACATATATACCTACAAAGTAATATGGAAAAACTGTTTGAATGATTTTCATTTTCTTGGAGTCTGCAGATGAGGCAAGAACTTAGCTTTCGGAGCACTGGTTTTCCTTAGCTTTTGCACCTGCTCAGTTCCCGATAATGGCCTAGTAGACCTGGGTGTTGTGTTTCTCTCGGTGTTTTTTTGTGAATGTATTCCACTCTGTCTCAAAAGTTCCTGCGTCTCGTCTTTCCACGTACGCATTTCATCGATGGTATTCTCTAAACTCTTGACCCGTTGTGAGACGTCATTCAGTTCAGTTGTCAAACGGTGTATTTCTTTGTCCTTAGAAGCTGATTCCGTTTTCATTGTCTTTAGTTTCTTTTCAAGTGTTTTTCTCTTTTTTCTCTCTTCTTTTAGCTGCCTTTCTAGTGAAGATATCTGTACATCTTTATCATCAGGATCAACCTGTGAAATGTAAGGCCACGCCGGGGATAAATACGTTAACAATTACAATGCATATATCATACAGTTAGAATACTATATATTTTTTAGACTAATGTGTTTTGCGCGAATAATATTTACATATTTATCTCTTTGTATATCTAAGTAAGCAAACATGTTCCAATCCAATGACTGAGGAGTGAGTGAGTTCGAATTTAATGCCGCTTTTAGCAATATCCCAGCAATATCACGGCGGGGGACACCAGAAATGGGCTTCACACATTGTGCTCATGTGGGGAATCGAACCAAGGTCTTCGGCGTGACGAGCGAACGCTTTAACCACTTGGCTACTCCTCCGCCCCCAATGACTGAGGAATAATATCTTCAGCACGAAGTATATATATGACCATGTTTTTAAACTGTGATATATATATATATATCACGGTTTAAAAGCGTGGTCTAAGTGCTATAAATGCTACATTATGGTGACTATCCTTATATTAACCAATACTAATCCCGCAAAACTTGTGTAAGTGTTGACTAAGTGATTTAAGGCAAAAAAGTAGAAACATGTTGCAAAATAGTAAATCGTAGCCGATTTATCCAAAGTATACATGTTAGTTACAACAAAACGGGAGCAGCCAAGTCAGCCAGTCTGATCCCTTTTAATCGCTTCTTACGGTTGCTGAAGACCAATTCTAACCCGGATCTTCAAGGGTTCATGGGGTTGGTAGTGAGCGTAAGCATCTCAATTTCCGTTCGTATGATTTAAGTGAGTGAGTAGTGAGTATGGTTTTATGCTGCGATAACACGGCGGGAGATACCAGAAACGGGTTTCACACATTGTACACATTGAACAGGCACATTTACAAAATGTAATTGTATTATAATGAAAAGGAACACGAAGAATGATCACTTACAATGATAGACATCAAAGAAGTAATTAAATTTTCTCGTCCTAAATGAAGGATATATGAGACAATATGACCAAATCATGAAACATTTTTAAAAAGAAAACGAAGGTTTTCTTGTAATACAAATATGAAGAGCTAAAGAACCACGTGGTTGCGAATTCATTTCATACTTCCTCGTCACTGCACTAACCTATTTTTACACAAAACTAC